ATAGATATTTCTTAACCTAGTATCTGAAGTTACAGGAAAGGAATTCCTGAAAAAAATATTGCTTTCCTATAGGTGGAAAGCTGTCTGCATATCTAAAGTTAAGACTATCTTGATGTTTCCCATTCCCGTTCCTGTCTCACATGACAGCAGTAACAGGAAAATGACAAAAACCAGAGCTTTAAAATATCCCAATGAAGAACTGAAATGCATATACACCTTTTACCAGTAAACATGAAACTCCTACAGAAAGTAGTTCTCCAATTATCTGAGACCAATTGTAGCTCTATCAGAACACGGTTACAAAAAAAAAATAAAGGACCGAATATTCCTTGTGAACGTTCATCAGACACTTTAAAATACTGGTTTTAACATCACTATGCTCAGCCCTCCAGAGTCAGTCAGCAGAGCTGCACAAGTGTGCTTTGATTATTTTTGTGGTTCATAAATCAGTCATTGACCAATTTCCAGTTGTCATTTCTTAGAGATAATTGCAGAAGGAACAGCTTGACTCTTAGAACCAATTAGGCAATCACAATACACAGACCCACTTCTTCCTTTATTTTTTAAAATCAATCACCTGAGATAATTGCATAGCAAAGTGAAAACAAGCATTTGAGAGAAATCTGATGAATACTAGGGAGGCCTATCTTAACTAGGCAGATGATACTCATGATGAATAAGGTACAAGGAAGCGCATGTTGAGGACTAACAGGAGCTACTTGAAGCACTTCTGAGTTTGAAATTGGAATTACTGAGGGGGAAGAAGCAGGGTATCAGAGCAACAGCAATAGTGTTCTTTCATACTAGGTGTTTAAAAGTTGGTATTTCCAGTGACATAAAAATCTGAGACTAGAATGGAATTAAAATCATCTATTCGCTTTCTGCCTGGAAAACTTCAGTTTTGACGATCAAACCTAAAAGCAGGAAAAAAGCAAGTTCAGACAGTCTGAGCAGAGGACCAAAATAACTTCAGCAGTCCTCAGCCTTATGAATACTCTGTTTCAGAGAAGAAAGGAGTATGCAATAAAATAATGCAGATCATAACAGAATGGGGACTAAAAGGTAAACAAGCTCCTGTTGCTAACTCACAGCTAGCTATAAAGAAGTAAAAGATTACACAAACATCAGTTAGAAAGCATTGCATCAGTTTTCACACAATCCATAGTCTGCAGACCAAACTGCTACCAGAAATTATCTAAGCGTTTAGGATTCAGGAGTGTTTCTATGGATAAAGAAAACCTTTACAATCTCACCAACAGTGATTTAAAAAGTATATATAGATTGTTTTAAAACATTAACGTGCCAATGATCTGTTTCAGGGTTAAAGCCCAACTTTCTTCATAACCTGATTAAAAAAAGCATCTAATATAGGAATACAGAAATAGTACATTCTTTAGTGCTTTCACTAGTACACAGGCTGCTTTGCACAGTGGTCCATGGAAACGCCTTCAGTAGCAGGAAGAATAAAGTGCAAAAAAAGGTAACATTTAACACTTAGCAACTTAAAGAATTCAATCATGGATGAGATGGCATTGAGTGCAACAAAATGCTAGAAACCAAAATTGAGTTACCTTCCCCTCCCTTGTCTACGCTGTTACACCACCTTTTATCAGGTAACTTTTACACAGTATTTAGAAGATTTTAATTTTTATTTCAGAAAGTTAAAAGGCATAATTTAAATGCCCCTTGAAGTTCCTACCCATTTGATACTAAAGAAAGTGTTAAAAAGGTCACAGCAGTTTATCTAAGAGCTCTGCTGCCACCACAAGGATATAGAAAATGAGACAGTCTAAAACTTTAAAACTTCAGCCTTCTGAAAGGTGAAGCACGTAACATGAAATGCAGCACACAGCAGAGCTGGCGTGTGCATTTGGCTTTTGAGGTGTTGGGCTATCTATTTGAATGGTTTTACTAATGCACTCAGAATGGCTGCATTAGTAATCCCTGACAATTTTCGTCACAGAAATATAGTGCATGCCCATTCTCAAATATTTTAGCAGTGTTTTAGAGTGCTTTTTTGGACAAATTTGGGTACTAATCCTCCAGAAAACCAGGATGCCTTCATATTACCGATGAGTGGAATGTGAAATACTGACTTTCAAGTCCATCACTGGCCAAAACCAGATACTATCCATAGTGCTCCTGTGCAAATTCACACAGTATTCCACCTGTGGAGATGAGCAGGTTCTCCAAACCATGCTGTCCAAATGTTGGACACAGAGGATTCAGGAAGGCTGGATTACTGGGTGCAGGTGGTGTGTTAAGAGATAAAAGTAACCTGCGTCACATCTCATTGCTCTCATTTGCTACCTGTGATCTATAGTTAACACGTATCTACCACAATTATTAATGCACACTGACAAATAACTTGACTGTGTGGCCATACTGTCAAGAAACCAGTACAATTCCATATTTTCCATCTCAGAAGCATGTGTAGCCTGGAATCTAAAGCACCTGGACACTAATCAAGCTTCAAAACATATAGGAAGGCATGTATGAAGCTTCCCAGGTGACAATCAGCCAAATATCTGAAAGAGCACCTGATAGAGTAGCCATCAGGAACCCTGGCTCTGACCAAGACTCATCTTTCCCATCTTTATTAGTCCTTTCAAAGAGCATACTTGGAATGAACGAAGAATATCTTTGACAAAGAACAGACTCTATCCAGGTGGCAGTTACCATCTAATTACAATTTGTATCCCAAGCAAAAACACTGTTTGGAGAAGAGTGCTCGTAGCTTCCCGACATCCCCAAAGGCTATTTCTGCTCTTTTTTTTTTTTGTACGAGAAGCACAGTGTAACTACTATGTTTCTACAGAGGCACAACTTGGAAGGCAGAACCAACATGTGGTATGTATTTTTTGTGATGACACTGCAAATCACGTGAAGTGACAACATCACAAGCGAGAGAACGCTTACTGAAACGGCACATTTACTTAAAATGGAGACTCAGAAGACAAAAAGTAAGGAATGAAAGTTTTGCATTTTGGGGTGGTGTTTTTTTAAAGCTGTATAACGTGAACTTGTAATTGTGGTGCTTCAATGGACACGGGGAAAAAAAAATTCAAGGGGGATGCTGGATTTCATTTTATTTTTTTCTTTTTAAAGTTAAGCTACTATCTCCTTTTCTCTTGATGAATCTTTCATTTCAACACCCACAAAGTTCCTCAGTTTTTGTTTGTTTGGGGTTGTGGAGGTTTTTTTTCTTTAACTTCTTGAAGGTAAACACACTCTAAAATGCTTCATAATATTCAGTAATTTGAGTCTCCTGGTAGCTGAGATCCCAGGATGTTTAATCTACTAAATTAATCACATGCAATTAGAGAACTGATGCAAGAATAAAATGGGAAAGAAGATTAATACACATCTTCCATCATCAATGAGGACAGGTAGTTAACATAACGTCAACAGTTATTCCCACCCAAAGTCTTAACATGCAGCAATAATCTCTGTAAGATATGAACAATGCTAGGAGAGCAGATAAAAATATATGTGCATTCTTGTCCAATTGCAATATTGGTGTGCTAACTTTCTAACAGCTGAAGCTTAAAACTTGTAGTCCAAAAACTTTCTCTGGGAATGAAATACAGCGACTGGAACAGAACCAGTTAACTTAATTACCTCGTCAGTGTCTTGACTTAACCTAGTATGAAAACAGAAACACAAGAGGCAAAACAAAATCATACTAGCTGATGAAAAAAATAGGGAAAGGGTGTTTAAGAAAACCCACAAAACGCCACACACACTATTCTACTTCACTTTTCAGAAAGTAAAATGCTTATGAAGTGATTTTACAGATGAAGAACATCACAGATCTCATTCATAGTGCCAGAAAGGAAATCAAGTATTAGACAAAACTCATTTTCAATTTGCCTTTTGAAAAGAAACAAACACCTGACCTGCGTACCTTTTGTCTACCTAATGTAGCTAAAATTCTTTAAGAACCAAATCTGGCAGGGTTCCTGGTAAAAGCAAAAGGGACATTATTGCTCAGTGCCCTGCAAGACTGCCAGCAGCAAGGTCACGTAACAGTAAATGGACAACTGACCGCTTCCCGTAGCAAGAGAAGAGCAGTCACTGCACTGAAGCATACATCCTTTGTGACAATCTCCCTAAGAGTATTTCACACAAGAACCATGACTCTGAATTTGTTAACGCTGCCCAGCTGTAGCGGGACCAAACCCTGAAGTCATTCTGCAATGACAGTGGCACAACTACCAGCAATTTTACAGGGACTGGATTTCATTTACGTTCTGGTGACTTGGATAAATGACATTTGAGGCAAGGTTAAAGGGCAGAGGCAGTTAGTTCCCTACTGGAGTGACTAAAACAGCCAGGAGTGCCCTGCTTTATGCAATACCTAAGTGTAGATGCTCTGCTCCCCCCTTCAAACCCTGGGGATGAAACAGAATTCAAGATGGTGCAGTAACAACACTCCGATTCTGTTCCACATGGTGTTTCTCCCAAATGCAACTTGCCTTTCATTTGTCCAAATTCCCCTACTTGGGGGAACTTAGCAGGGGAAAGACGGACTATTGATTTATCAGGAATGTGAATACAATGGAAGTTACAAGGGTTACAGATCACCGTTAGTCCTGCTCACATCATGCTCTTGTATTTGTTGCCTGAATAAAAAAAGCAGACCAATCTTACTGAGCATGGTTTCTCAGGGCTACCTGTAGTTACACCATTCCACAAAACCTTTTATCAGCATTTGTGCAGCTATGCTAGAACTGGCAAACATTTCTATAACCAGTTAGCACTGTACTTGTTGTTTCAGTATTGCCACTGATGCTTGTTGAAAGACAAAAAAAATAAATGGTTTCTAGAGCAAATGGCATTATCTGTCTCTCCACTGATGCTTGTTGAAAGACAAAAAAAAGACAAAAAAAAATAAATGGTTTCTAGAGCAAGTGGCATTATCTGTCTCCTTCTACTTCCATAAAAGTATTTTAAAAGATATATCTACTTTGATGTACGTATCTAAAAGGAAATGGTACCTTTAATGTTCTAGTTGGAGCCCAGCCAGTGCCATCAATTGAATGCTCTCTCAATAAACTGGAAAAAAGACACACATATTATACAGTGCAACTTCTAGTTAAACAACCTTTGTCAGAAATCTTCTCAGAGAACATTAAGAACTTAGGAAGTAATTGCAACATAAGATTTACAGACATCTTGCACTATATGTTAGTACTGGGATTTTGAAGCAAAAAAATTGGTATGCCTTCCTCGAATTACATTCTATGCAGTGCCATTATAGATTTCCCAATCTGAGCCCAACCTTTATTAAAAAAATATTATTTTCATCAAGCAAAATAACCGTGACAGAAATCCTTTTGACACAGTCTCAACAACCTCTATTTTCCCCCAAGCACGCAGACACGTGTGCTCCAGTTTAGAACATGTTCATCTTTGGTGAAGAGACAGACTTACAGAATGACCTCTCACCAAATCTGCACATTTCCATCCAAAAAAGGGTATTTTTAGTGGGATACCTAATTACAAAGAAAGAGTATTATCATCCTCTTTTCTGTGAGAGGACTTCAGCTTCTTAAAAGCAGGGATAGGAAAATGAAATTAGTTATGGCCTGTCTGCTCAGGAAGATTCTGCAACCACCATAACACAAACAGACGCATCTCGAACCTTGGGGAATATAGCACAGGGAATTCTAAAAGCAGGGTCTCGCAGTCCTCTTCCAGCAGGTGAGCTACATTGCACACAGAACATCTAAAGGCTTTACAGACAAACTCAGCATCATACATCCCCAACTGGAAATCACGATGAAGACTACTCTACGCAAGAGAGATTGCTTACAAGAGGAAAAAGTTCCTTATAAACTATAATACATGCTCTTGAATTTTAATACTAATACATATTCATATTAATATAAATAATTAAGATAGACTTTCCTATATATAAACATACTGTATAGAAATTTTATATGACCTGCATATTGTGCTACATATTAAGTCCAGTGAAGCTGTTGACTTATTTACAAGTTGAAATCATTGAGGTGTATTCAGTTGGTTAGGTATTCCTGGTCCTTTCAGGTCAAAACATCAGGAGTTATGAGAAGTAAAGATATTGGAGATGAGAGCATAACTGAGAAATGAGCTGAAGTCTTGCTTACATTTGTGAAAGCAAAAATAATTTGAATGAGAAAGTCTAGAAAACTCCTTGAAGCATCATTTCACAAGCACTTCTTCCTCTGTTAAGAAGTAATCTAAAACTGAAGACTCATACAGCAAAGTAGCAAAGTACAAAAATCCATCACCACCAGCAGCTCTTACTGCTGAAATGACAGGGTTAAAGTGCAATAGTCTTAAACTATTGGGTTCTACCAACTTTCAGGATGACATGTATTAAGTCATTTTCAAATTACAGTAAATGACTGGACCATACAGGCTATCTATATAGTTCGTCATTGAACGAGCCGAGTTTGTAATCCAAGGAAATATACTATGACTAGCATTACTCCTTGTTCAATGTAGAGAAGCTAGGAAGAGGAGGATCATACTGGACAAGACCATTCCATCTTAACTGTGCCGCTAATCTCATTCTTGTGCCTTTAAAAAGATAAAATATGCCATCACCACTAGTGCAGCTCAAAACTAATTTCAAGAACATTAAAAATACCATCTTGTGGCTGCGATTTCTGTTCATATTACAAAAGTAAAAGCAAAAATGCTGCTGAACAGGCAAGAGCCAGTATTTTCAGGTTTTGAGCAAATAATGGACTTTTTAGCTTGCTTTGTTTGTTCCTCATAAAACTGTGCTACAGTACTCCCCTTTGCCTCTTCATACACCTCACTGTGAACTTAAAAGTTGGGAGTAAGTTAACACACACAATAAAAGCATAAAAATAGCCACTGATAGAGCTCAATGTGCCTGAGCACACCAGCTAAGCCTTATTAACACCCTTCCAGCTTCCCAAAGCCTCAGAGCTCTCTCGGCACATTTCCAGTTGGGGACATCAGCAGCCAGGACTTGAGAGGAGACACTCATACCTCTCAGAGCCCTGGCAGAAAAGCAGTGAAGATAGATAAGCATACCTTTGCCTAATATTTCTCATTTGCTGATATAATTCATTTTTAGAGCAGCATCCTCTTTCTTCCTGTGGATTGGGAACGATCATTAGGCCCCTAATCAAAACATTTTCCCAGCACAAGGTGTGTAGACAAACCCTATCTTGTGCTCTCCATGGGGATGACCTAGATATAACTCCCAGATAGTTTGGAGTTCTGAACAGTGATCTGCTCTCAGAGCATCATATACACAGCAGAACACCTAAATGAGCAGAAATACACAAATCCCATCACGAACTAGTTTAGTGGATGAACAAGCATCTGCACGGAGCTTCTGTTCAAAGACTTGTCATCCACAGGTCCTGCTGCCAGAGAGAAGCTGGGCTACTAGGAAGTTCTCCAGTGGCACAACCAGAGTTGTTCCTCACCCACTCAATGCTTCCAGAGGCTGCCTTTGCTGAGCTCCCAGATACACCGCAAAAGCCACCTCTTCTACCAGGCTTTCAAGACACTTGATAGATAGGAAAACCTGTTTACTTGAAGTGACTATTCTAAAATTGCCAGGACTTTGCCGTCTCATACAGGAGTGCCAGAAAGCTCATCTAGTACTATTTAGATTGAATTCAGAAGCTTCTCTTGTGACGCTTGAGAATTAATTTGCAAAAGTAAAGAGAGGGGTAAACCAACTGTACAATTTCTGCAGCATTTCAAATGACTAAAGGTGGTGAGTGAGTGCATCCCTTGGGGAAGAAGCAGCAGGGCTGACAGAAGGGTGAGTGCCATGGCACCAGTAGGAGTTTGTCAGGCAGGGAGCTTCACCAGGAATAGGGAAGAGTAGTAAAATAATATTTCCATTTGCTTTGTCTTCAGCTGTAGTAGGATCTGAGAAAAGCAGAGCATGTCCTCTGTCATGGGGGGGGGGTCTGGAACTGATAACTGCACCTTATCATCTGGTGTTTGTATCTAAGGAGACCTCCCAGAAGAGGATTTCAAATCCTTATATCCCAGTTCCTATGGGAAGACTACAAAATCACTATTTTTGAAGCTATAGTAACCACAGCGGCCACTGATATGACCAGCCAGCTGCTCAGTTTTTGCTTCCACAAATATCTTCTCGTTCTGTAACTCCTGCATGGAGAAAAGTTTTGAGGATTTTCTTCTTTTTAAATATGCAGCATCCTAAAGAGATCTTGCAAAAACATCTACTGAACTGGGAACTGCGTGGCTGTAGCAAGTTTAAAACTCTCTGAAACTCCAGCTGACATGATTTACAGCTTAAGTGACTAAAAATTACTGTAATGGGGCAATCAGTCACGGAGAAAGCCTGTTTTATGTAAAGATCTTGGATGAATACATTTATCATCATAAAAATGTCAGTTCCAACAAAACTTTTGCCTTCCTTTTGCTAACAGAAAATATCATTCAAGGCAAGTTTGAATTAAAAAGCTGTAAATCCACTTCAGAAACCCTCTGCTGGCAGAGACACATTATAGGGGTTATTCTCTTGCTCACCTCCCACTGCCCACCTCCCTGTTCAACCTAGCACCACCGGTGCAACCATTCTGGAGGCCACGCTACAGACTGGATAAACGGAGCAATTGGTGTAGAGAGTCTTTCTAAAGAGTGATTTCTGAGTGATTAAACTATTCTAAAAGCTTATGTGGTCAAGAAGGAAAAAAAAAACCAAAACACCTCAGGCAGAGATCACATCAATAGGGGGGAAAAAAAAAGTCAGTGACAAATTGTCATTACACATTGTCAAAAAAGTAGTCAGCTGGGATATGTAGTAAGCAAGCATATCCTTTCTAGGTATCTTGATGTTTTCTAGCCACATGTGCAGTGGAAGCAATACCCACAAGTATGGTCCGGATCTAAATAATATGGTCCAGCGTAACTGCAATCCATAAAGCACAGTGAAACAACACTTTTCCTGCCCAAAACTATCACACTTGACTGCAAGTTTCATTATTTGGTACGTTTTAATTCAGGGATGATTATCAAACCAACAGATACCATAGCGTGAGGTATGTTTAGTAAAAAGCAGTTGGGAAAAATACTGATAAGGAATTTTTTTCGGCTTTTAAAAATAACTGAAGCTATTTTAATGCAAAGACTCTTGTATAAGTTGATTGCAGGTACTATATATAGAGTGTATTCTCCATTATAACAGACATAAAGCAATCTAAGTTATTTTAGTTTTTCCATCTAAACGGTAAGACATTTCAAAGGCTTGATACGTTAAAGTATCTGACAATCAAATAAAGCTGACGTTTCAGTGCAGATGCTGAAAAAAATGACTTCATTAGAACTGTGATGTTCTAACACTACGTTCATCTTTCATAATTAAAACCATTTAAAGACAAGAAACAGTGAAATATCCTCAAGAACGTGAGGCTTTATTTAACCTCAGATGATACGTTGCACTGTAGTCAGAGCTTAAACTTATAGCTATCGTTTGGTGTCTAGTGTTTCTTGTTCCTTGCTTCCAAACAGCTCACTTATTCATTCAATTATTTGACTAAAAGCACCTAAGTTTTCTCCACTAAGCCACAGGGCCTTTGGTGGAATTTAAACTGTAAAAACATGATCCTCAAATCACTCTCCCTACTGTCAAATGCCAGGTTCAGCTGCGTAAAATGCAACAGTCCTAGGAGGCACTAAGAAACACTACAGGTCTGGCGAATCTGCTACAAGTAGCAATACGTATTTGCCAAAACAACCTTCCTCTGCCACCAGCATACAGCTCCAAATAACGGTGGACAACCAGATTTTTAGGTAGTCTCAAGAATTTAGTATGTTTTTCCAGTGTTTTTAAATTGTCCAGTTCTCAAGGGAGGTAAAGTCTATGGACGCCAGCCCTCGCTGCCTGTAATCCTGCTGCAGTCTGGCACCATCGAGCACCGGGGACATACTACAGCCTCCTCAGGTTGGTTTCTATCACCCTTCGATGGCACGAGCTTCTCAGAAGGATGGAGCAGACCACTATGGCTAAAAGCACTGATATCAACTCTATACCTCCAGGTATCTTCAGCTGATGAGCCTGATCTTTCTACAAACTGTGACAGACCGCCCTCTGAAAACTATTTTTTTTTTACCAGGATCTTCAACACAGCACTAAAACGATTTTTAAATCTAGAGGAAAAATTTCACCTTTTTTTTTTAAGTGCTAATTTGCTATAGATGGTGGCAACTGTTTTGGATTTTCAGAACAGCTTTCAATCTCACTTATATTCATTGCTTCTGCTTCATCTACTTTTTCTTTTATGTCCCATTAACCTGAAAAATGAAGGTCAGCCTTCTCACTTCTGTTTATGTTTGGTTTCTGGCCAATTTCACCATCAGGTACTCATGATGAAACACTGAAATTACAAAGTTTCAGAAACTGATTTTGAAGAGGAAACATATACTATCAGGCAAAACCACCCAGCAACATAAGCCTCTCACTTTGGTAAAGAAAAGCTTTTGGGCTTCATCTCTTTACTTACACTCCCCCAACTGTTCCGTTATAACTGGCATGTGTGTCTTATAGTGGATATTAAATGTTAAAATAAACAAATGGCAAATAGAGAATAGTTACCAAAGTTTAAGGAATACTTTTTCCTTCCTTTTCCGAAATACAATGGTTTTCAAGCACTTCACACATTCAGGCATTAAACAAGTAAAGCCTTAAGCACTCTCAGGACCTGGGGACTATTTATTTACAGAGGAAGAAAAAAAAAACAAACAGGTAAGTTTTGTTTACGTTGGAGTTTATATTTTTACCCCAAGTAGAACAAAATGTTAAGTCTGAACTTGAAAAGCCAGGCTCTGCACCTTTTCTAACACACAGCAAGAACAATACTTTCAGCTGATTTCTAAGTTCCTAAGGGTCACATGGCACTGATTTGCAGAATCTGTCAAAAAAAACACTGACATGAAAATTACATACAATATTTTATCACACAGATAAACCTCCGAGGTGAAAAAAATATAGAATGCTGTTGCTACCTTAGGCAGATTTCTCCCGTCTCTGTAATGTTCGGATGCCAGATTCTTGTCAAGCATTTCACCTTTGGAGGCTGCCAGGAGAGAAAACAAATTACGACATCATCCCTTAAAATAAAACCTTATCACTGCTACAAGTCATAGAACTGAAAAAGGCAAATATATTTGATATTCACAGCTTAGGTTTGTATGTTAAAGACACCGATAACATAACCTACAGGAGTTACACCAGCTTTCTCTGCCGTTTTAGCTCCTCTCGACTCTACAAAAGCTTTGGTATTAGGCTTTTTCTCAGAAAAACGTAACTTTAAAGAAAGCCAAGAAAATTTACTCTCTTCTGTCTCCTTCAGGGGAAAGAAAACATTCCAAGTCATTCAGTTCCGTATTCATTCACCAGTAAGACAACAATTTAAACTGGAAAACTACTAAGTGTCTTCCCCCAAGACTTATCCAAGTCAGGGGTTTGTTAAAAACCCACAGAGGATGCAGTGATAACAACCACATCAAAAGAACAACTTCTTTTAAATGTAGATCCTCCTGTTCACAATTGAATAGGAAGTATCACAAGAAGCACCGAGAAGGCATGTCATATCCAAACTTAAGACACTTACATAAAAAGTCACCAAACTTATTTTCAGGCAAGATCACCAGATTTCTGAATTTCATAGCAGGTTTTGAAATACAGATTCTTAAAATACAGTCTCATTTGCTCTAGTTTTGTGAAGTAAATAAAGAGTGGGTCATAAAAATTCTGGTAGTTTAGCAACAGCACACTGTTCCATCCATGCTCTCCAAATTACAATTTGCAGCTTTCAATCAAGCAGACGGTTTCTTATAGTGACTGTACCTGAATACATCAGCACAGACCAGTACCTTTCATAACTTCAATTAAATCACATATTATGGATGTGGAGCTATTTTCTTCCACTGCTTTCCATGAAGTCTTCGGTTAAGAGACAAAAAAGCACAACTAACTATATTTGCATAGCAGCATGATGTGTTTTGTCTCATCGCTTTGTTCTCAACTTCTCAATTATCTTTTTAGTAAAATATTTTTTTTAACTAGGACTCCTTGGAAAAGAGGTAAGAAAATATGCATGGTACTGAGCTGGTCTGGCACTAAAAGAAGAAACACCTATCACCGCAACAAATCTTCAATTTATAATGTAGACATTGACTTTCCTCCACTCTTACTTCATGTTTGTCCAATAACTCAAGGGACACTGACTGCCCTAGCACTGGATCACAGCATTATTGAAAATTAAGTGGCATGCAGAAAATAGTCTCAACCTTTTTACCTTCAAAACAAATGTTGTTCTTAAAAGTGTTCTAACAGCACAGCTTTTCATTAGCTACAGCTTCACGTTGTTTTGAAATACTACCTCTAGTTCTCAAGAAAGAGAAAGCAGCAGTATTTATTCCATGCCAAGATAAAAGAGTAAATTTCTACCATATGCACCTTCAAACAGGGAATGTACTGATGAGTAGGAAAAAAAAAAGTAAGCTTTATACAAACTAGATCTTTAAAAAAAAATCCCCAAAATCCTCACAGTCGGAGTGAATTAACTACTGTCTCATTTTTTTGTATTGTGGGAACAAAAGAATTCCTTTACCCTTTCATCAAAGTGTTTTTCTTTGCTAAAAAGTAGAAAAACCCACTCCTGACAGCAAGACAAAGGTTTTCTCTTTCTCTCTTTTCTCCTCTATTTGACAGACAGGACAAGTGCGGTACTATCATAAAATTAATCTTCAGACAAAACTTTTCCTTCAAGCTTGTTCCAAGTCTTTGTGTCTTTCCTTAGACCAACAAATCCACACAAGATTTCCTTGAGATGATGTTTCACTTGAATACCTCCAACCATCTCTAGGTCGTATGTGTGATATTTTGCACTACAAAGCTTACAAAATCCCATTTATTTCATCACTCAGACTCTTCCTTCACCTCAGATACTGAAAGCTGCACAGGTAGATGCAACCTCAACTGGGGGTTCACAACGATGAATGGATTCATTTTCTTCTCCATTTCTAAGCAGCCACTTATCTCATTAGAATCTCTCATTAGTTTTGAAATTGTCTGTCACATCCATTCTCAGTCCACTTCAACGTATCAGTGAATGCATATAGACGGTACAAGAAAGTATTTGCAAGCATTTGAGAACTATGCATATACTGACCTCAGTTTTGGTGGAAGTTTTGGAGAACAAGATCAAGTTTGTCTCATTTCTTTAAAAATCAATCATCTCTCCTCTCCATTATTATCACCAAATGAGAGATTGAATATAAAGTGCTATAAGTGAACTTAATTAACAGCTTCAGATCTTGATCAATCTGGCACTCTAACGGGACAGCTGTACTAACACAGGTATCTTTTATCTGTCCTGCAACTGCAGTTCTTCACTTCACAACCTTTTCCCTAGAGAAGGGATGGGGTTCCTAAGAGAAATCTGGAATCAATGTGATCTGAAATGTTCTCTCTAGATGCTAGATAGTCCCAAAGCATTCTTGTAAACTGCCCTGCAACTACGACTCCAGAGTTTTCCTTTACAGTTTCCACAAAACATAATTCCCCAAAAGAGGCATTAACAGAAATACAGGTTCCAGAGACCGAACTACAAGCTAGCCCTAAGGTATTTCTTGTCACTCTCCCCTACCAGTTCCTGAAGAACTTCCTGAGATCGGCTGAGACTGAACACCAAACACAGCTAAGTACATAGTACAGAGAAACAAATTGAGGAAAATGAAGCCACACCGTTGCGTGCTTCTGATGGACTGGATTACCCAGCTCGACAAGTGGAAGAGTAGCTGCCTTACAGTAGGAGTGGGTCTCAACCCAAGGACTGCCCAAGTCATGCACTTCGGGTCCCTGAGCTTCCTTGTGCTGCCTCAATATTTCCAGACAGAGGCATGAGGGAGCTTGAGCCCAACTCCCATTCCATCAGTTCCAAACCAAGAGCTGTATAAAGGAGGATCACCAAAGAGATCGACGGTAGCCCCTTAACTGTGACACCTGATCCTTCAGGAACCAAATCCCTTTCAATCATAGAATCATTATGGTTGGAAGAGACCTCAAAGATCATCAAGTCCAACTGTATATCCGATGCCACCATGCCTGCTAAACCCACTAAACCATGTCTCAAAGCGCCACATCTAAACGTTTTTGAACACCTCCAGAGATGGTGAGTCCACCACCTCCCTGGGCAGTCCGTTCCAATGCCTAATGACTGTGAAGTGAAGAAGTTCTTCCTAATACCCAACCTGAACCTCCCCTGGCGCAACTTGAGGCCATTTCTTCTTGTCCTGTTGCTAGTTACCGGCGAGAAGAGGCCAACCCCCACCTCGCTACAACCTCCTTTCAGGTAGTTGTAGAGGGCGATAAGGTCTCCCCTCAGCCTCCTCTTCTCCAGACTTAAACACCCCCAGCTCCCTCAGCCGCTCCTCATAAGACTTGTTCTCCAGGCCCTTCACCAGCTTTGTCGCTCTTCTCTAGACACGCTCCAGCAGCTCAATGTCCTTGTACTGCGGGGCCCAAAACTGAACACAGTATTCGAGGTGTGGCCTCAGCAGAGCAGAGTACAGGGAGACGATCACTGCCCTAGTCCTGTTGGCCACGCTGTTTCTGATACAGGTCAGGATGCCATTGGCCTTCTTGGCCACCTGCCGGCTCATGTTCAGCCGGCTGTCAACCAACACTCCCAGGTCTTTTTCCGCCGGGCAGCTTTCCAGCCACTCGTCCCCAAGGCTGTAGCGTTGCATGGGGTTGTTGTGACTCAAATGCAGGACCCGGCACTTGGTCTTGTTGAACCTCATACAGTTGGTCTCGGCCCATGGATCCAGCATGTCCAGATCAATTGTTTGCCGTTTCCACAACATATTGGCCAGAAGAAGTGCGAAGATTAGCAGCTCTGCTGTTAAATTCCTGGCTTTTGACCACTGCCTACGGCATCTCATGTCATAAAAATATCAGTAAACTGGAAAGTCCCTAAGAATGTCTACTCTGACAACACGATACTCAGAACCACGGCAGCTACAAGCAAGGCCTGGCTTGCAGTGGCAGACAGTTTAGTTTTACATGAACATTAAACCAGATCTGTACTATTAATCAGGATCCATTCCCTCAAGCACCAGGTCCCTAGTTTTGTAGCACCCATTATTTCATTAGCTGCACCTCAAAGCAGAAAAGAAGGGAGTTTATTTGTGTTTTAAAAAATCAATTAATCCCTCGGTCACTGGGTTTTCTTGATTCCCACCCCCCCCCCCCCACTCCACTTGCTCCCATCTCCCATTGACCTCTATTTCTGGGCAGTTGGTCAACCAAAAAAAGCAGTGCTTGGGGAACAGATGCTGCAGACACAGAAGTCAGGCAGCAGCATTTGACGCTAAAGGCATTTGCTATGTACACCGTTAAATGTTTTGCTTGCTGTTTCACAGCTTCCTCTGATGTCTGTATGGACAGCAACGTTCCTGGCAGGTTTTGTAAAGCACAAACACTAACAAACTTCTGTTTGCTTTACACAAAAGCTCATGAACATACAGCTCGTTTCCTAACAAGTATAATACTCTAAAAATGCCAAGTGACAGGCTTACCAACAGATTTTAGTATTTCTAATGGCATGCTAGTTTGAGGAGACACTACAGAATTAACTAACCCTGCCCCAGTTTTCTTCTCGTGATCCCTCTGCAACACCTGTATCAGCACCAACTGCTTTCTGTTCTGACACAATATCCCAGCACCAAAGAGAACAGTCCACAGGCTATCTAGTAAATAATAAACCACATTGTCAAAGAAGTCTTTCCTTCACTCCGCATACCTGTTAATGATATAAAGAAAAGTAAATTTGGAAAGTATGCAACATCTTAAAGGCAGTTTCATGCACATATGGATATGCAAGCAGGAATTAGCCATTTTTCCTCCCAAATATGATGAAGTAAGAAGTGTTTTGAACTGTGGAGCCGGTATATCCCACACTCCTTGCCTGGGACAGAAGAGAACCCTCATATACTAGTAGAGGCTGACATTTCTTCTAGTACTTTGGCAGTTATCTTTACAGAAGAATTCAGAAACAAATTTCAAACT